CTTGATTAAAAAAAAAAATTTCTATGACACTCTAGCTCTTAAATCATTTTGTATCTGTTACAAAACAGTACCTTTGGTATTTTCCTGCACTAATGTGGGTTTAGAAACCTGAGGTGTCAGTAGTAATTACCATCAAAACGGACTCTGGGCCTTTGCAGGAACATCTCCCTCCAAGATGTGAAGGGTACAAGTTTAGTGCACTTCCGTCCCCAAACTCTTAAACAAGCCAAGCGCCAAATCTCAGGGTCTCTGGAGAGAGAATGAAAGCGAAACAAAAAATTAAGAGCTCACAGCACCATGAGATCCTTTATTGCCTGATATAAAATTGGCAATTTTGTCAAAAGCTGAGCTTGCTGACAAATAATTTGTCACCCAGCTGATTTCTTTGAAAGCGAGGCTGACCTTGCACAAATGTAAAACCCACGGCAAACCAAAGACAGCTGCTCCAGAGCGCGCATGTCCAGATCGCTTGATACAACCCACCGAAATATGTACATCAGGATTTCCCGTGGCAAAGCTGCAATCAAAAAAAAAGAAAAGAATGATAATTGCAATGTGTTTATTATGACTCGAGAGGTTTACAATGAAATTACATTAGAGGTTTTTACCTGAAATGTGCACCTGAGTCATTTCAACCTCAGGAGTGCAGATCTTTGGAAATGAGCCTTCCACAGATAGCTGCTGCTCGAAGTAGGCAAGTAGATCCTCGATCTCCCCATCAGCATCACTATCCTCCATGCTGCCAAGAAGAAAAATAAACACAGTATGCTCAGTTTAAGAAATTAGACTATGCACTGCTCTCATACAAGCCAGCACACTATATTATTCACCTACCAAACTAAAGCAAAGAAAGAAAAGTTGCTTTTGTTGTTGTTGTAAATGGGGCAGCTTAAGTTTTAATCCAGCTGAGTGATCCTCCTCACACCCTCATTATAAGTTCAGCCTTTATACTACTAGTATAATTTCAATAATAATTAATATAGCAGCTCTCTGTTTAGCATCTTAATTACCTCACAGGGGAAAATGATCCCCGAAAAGAAAGCGATTTACATAAGACTATAATTTTAGAACAACTTAATGTCTGAAAACATGCTGTCACAAAACAGACCTGCGGTAAGATTAAACAAAATAAAGTAGCTTACTAGTTCCCTCCACCTCTGTCTGCATCAGGAGGACGGCTGTAGTTGATTTTAAACTCAATGTCAGGAACAAGCTGCATAGCCATGCGATAAAATTTGATAGCTGCAAGTAAAAACATCAGATTAGACATGAGAAACAAATCAAACAACCTCAGAGAAATTACAGAACTAAATGGACGGCGAGTAAGGATAAAGAGTTGTTAACTTCTAAAGAGTTATTTTTATTTGTGGTAAAGTGCCATCTGTATCCTATGTAGCGCATACCTTCATAGACAGCTCCATTCTGCTCCTCCTGAGCAGCTCTCAAGAACAGCTCTGTGGCCTGAGGGAAGGTGACTCTCGTCAGTCATTTAACAGCTGATAATAATCGACAACACATGCAAGCTTACAGCTAGAAAAAAAATAATTCCCCAACTTGCCTTTTCCTCTCTAGCAATTTCTTGAGCCTTCCTCAGACCTTTGGCTTGGAGCAGTCGGTTGCTCGTTCCACTTGCTCCAGAGCTCGGTTTGAGCTCAGACATCCACTGAGCTCTGAACACATTGAGCTCCAGCTGCAATTCGATTACAACATTAATAGAGTGAGTGCCAAAGAAAGGTTTCAGCTTATCCATGCTTAGTTGAACTTTAACACTGCTGTTATAGCCTATTTGGTTTACAAATTTAAGAATGAGATACAATACTGTATGAACTCAGAAATATATAAACTGCCAGGAGGTGAAGTACAGTGTACTACATTCTTATAATATATTTTTATAAATGAATCGTTGCAAACAAATAAAATTAAGTCCTCCTCGTCTTTCATTGTACCTGCCTAACATATGAGAATTAATTTGGCTGCCATGTTTTGCATACAGCGCAGGTTTTGCCACTTTAAACAAATAAGTACATGAGGGGATAACATATCTTATCTTTGGCCAAAAGAAATGTTTTTGTTAGTGATTTCAGTGCTAGCTCGAAGGATACACTGATGCACAGTACAGGTTCGCTTTTAGGAATATTGTAGTTTTCTTGACCTTTATGCATTAATGACACTGCAGTTTTTGTTTTATTTTCAGGAGATAAGTTAGATGTACTGCTCCAGGCTCTGGGGAGGCCCCAGCCCTGACTGATAGCATAGTGTGCTTTTCTCTGCAGGTATGTTTTTACTACATTGGTAGTGTGTTTGGGATCATTGTTATGCTGAAAAATGAAGCTGTTGACAATCAGAAGCTTTATAGATGGTTTTGCATGATGGATCAAAATAACAGCACCTCCACCATGTTATATAGACGGCAGCAGACACCCACTGTTGTACCACTCTCCTGGCTTCAACTGTACATATTGATGACAATTTAAAAGAAGAATTTCAAATTAGACCCATCACTCCATCAGACCTGCTGTCACTGATTGTCAGTGCAAGTTTTGTGTAATCTGACACATCTCAGTCTTTTCTCCCTGTGTCCCCTCAAGAATGTCTTCTTACCACGCTTACCTTCCACTAACACCACTGTGTGCTTTTATGACTAAATAAATAAATTGCAAGAAAATGTGGCTCCTTGGAAGTAAAATTTAATGAAGCACAGCCCTAGAGTGTTGCACAAACCATAATTTATGCTGCTCACCTGAAGATCTGGATCATCTGAACTTTCATCTTCATCCTCTACTGTACTTTCAATATCTGCATTTTCGTCAGCCTGCACACGAAACCGAAGTTATAATTAAAAAAAATGAATTTACGGTTAACTATTTATATAAAAAACAGATTATCAGACATCCTGTATATAGCAGTCAATAAGGTGATAAATTTAGAGACTAGAATAGCAAGCCTCATGTAACCAAACTTAATAAACATAAACATTAATATATGCATTTAGCTCACTTTGGGTTGAAGTTAATTACACTGCTACTCCCTAAACAAAATCGATTTAAAATGCATATGAAATACGTAATAAACAACAATATTGTAAGTACACGTTGCTTTATATGCATTGCACACCGTTTTTTGTTGACAGTTTGATGCTCCTTGTTATTACAGCACACTTCCCTGTTCATGTTGCGGTAAATAAGTTTCATTTTTCTTTAACATACAAACTGTCAAAGTGGTCAAACTTGTTGCAAAAAATAGAAACTATAAAGTTCTGCTGTGGGCCTGATTTAGAAGCAACTCAGGTAACACAACCATATTTAGCTTAACAGTCTGCGATGCTAACCTCGGTGTATAATACTGTGAATTAATCTGCATATCGTTGATTTGAGGGTCTTGCATCTAAATGTAGGCGCCAAGTGTTGTAAATCAACTACTTTCGTAACTAGTTAGTAAACTAGTTAGCTTACAGCTCGGCTGAGCGGCAGGTAGCATTAAAAGAAGCCAGGTGACGTTAGCTACATTAGCTCGCTAGCTCGCTAACACTTTTCGCTGCATAACTGCCAAAAACACGGTGACCCACCATGACAACCTGGCCAGTAAGTCTCCTTGTTATCTTCACAGGCGGTCAGTATTACCGTTTACAGTTCACGGTCGGAGAAACGGACAACACAACGGACATATTTACGAGCTCGCAGGAACGCAGCCATTTCGCTGAGTAGCCCGGAGCCTCAGTGGCACAGGAAGTCAGGAGGCGCTGTGAGACTCGAGAAGCGCCCTGTGTCACTCCGGCTCTTCAATATCAGCTGAAAAATAAACATCCCTGTGTGGGGCAGCGACTAGCAGCTGTCATTTATGAGTGGCCTGTATGTGTGTGTTATATTATAACAACAACTGTCTTTAGTGACCAAATTGTTGGCATGTTAATTACGGGACATTAAATACTCTGACAGGTGCACCTGTTCCACTGGAACCAGCCAATCACATGGCACATTTAAGCATGATCAAGATGACCCACTGAAGCTAAACCTGAGCATCAGAATGAGGAAGAAAGGTTATTTAAGTGGCTTTGAATGTAGCATGGTTGTTGATTAAAACTAGATTCCAATTAACCACTCATCACAACCGCAGAAGAGCATCTCTGAATGCACAACATGTGGAACCTTGAAGCAGATGGGCTGCAGCAGCAGAAGACCACACTAAATGCAACTCCCATCAGCTAAGGGGAAATAGAGGCTACAGTTTGCACAGGGTCACCATAATTGGATGATAGAAGATTGGAAAAATGCTGTCTAGTCTGATGAGTCTTGAATTCTGCTGCAACATTCAGATGGTTAGCATAAACAACATGAAAGCATGAATCCATCCTGCCTTGTATCCATGGTTCAGGGTTGTGATGGTGTAATGGTGTTAGGTATATTTTCTTGGCAAACTTTGGGCAACTTAGTACCAACCAATCATTTAAATGCCAGAGCCTACCTCAGTTTTGGTCACAGTGTACCCATCTTCTGATGGCTTCTTCCAGCTGGATAACACACTATGTCACAAAGTTCAGATAATCTCAAACTGACTCCTTGAACATGTCAGTGAGTTCCCTGTACTCAATTGGCCTCCACAGTCAACATATGTCATTCTTTTTTTTTTTTTTAATTTACTTATTTATTTTTGCAATTCATTATAATATAACACCAAATGGCAACAGCAGTCTCTGAAAGGCACTTTATACATGTAAAAAAGAATGCGGACTAACAATTTAGGGAGTAGGGAAAACGATGATGACCTCACATTCATAATAAGGGCTCTTTTTTTTCTTTAATCAAAGAAGAGTGCGAAACAAGAGCACTAAATGTTGCTCACTTTCGCTTTTGCTCTGCACCTAAACATCTTTTCCACTCTTTGCGTATTTTTTATGTTACTGGCTGGTCTTTACACCTCGCCATTCGCCCTTCACGATTATGTCATAAAATGTCGATAAGTTTAAATGACTGCACTGCTTCATGTTTATCTTCTCTAGCAATGCGTGGACTAAACACAGTAAAAGCCCTTCTTTAAATAGTCCGCACTCCTTAAAAGCGATATAGATACATAAAAGCTGGTGTTTACGCTCCAGCATCTTTACGACGGGATGAGAGGAGGACTGCTGTGATTTGTTGAAATTAAACCGCAGGGTCTTTTCACAGCAACGCGAGATCTTGATAATCTCTGTGAGGAAGGAAGGAGGGAAGGAAGGGAGGAAGGGGCCTAGCTGGAGATTTATTTACGGTGTGTGTTGGGCACACTGGTTGCGGCTATTCGGAGTGTAACGGTAACAGTTAGCGGGCTAATGGAGTAAGCCATTTGTTTACCATCGACTACGAATGACTGGCTATGAACTGTTGGCGGTTTGACGCGAGGAGGGTAAGTGCTGTGTGCTGCTCGTCGTTTTATTTTGAGTAAGAAGCCCATTCTGTCCACTGTTTCTCTGATGGCTTGTCAGCAGCTGGGCCACCAGCAGCATCACAATGCGGTCAATGTTTATTTCTACCACGCTAGCTGATAGAGGGCTGGCTAAAATGTAACCACAAACTCACAGGGGGTTGTTGTAGTATTAAATCCAGTCAGTCTGAACAACGTCAGTGAACAAAGCAGTAAACAGTAGCTGGTTTGCTAGCTCTTGCCAGTAGGTTAACATAATGTGAACCCCTCTTTTGAAATGATTGGTGATAAATTGGCCAATATAATCAGTTTCCTGATACTGTGCTGTTACAAAGAAAGAAAAAGATATTGCCTCCTTCTTAATTTGTATTCTATTTATTATCATTTTAAACGTTTTAGGTCATGAATAAAGCTTAATGTTAGACAAACATAACCTGAGTAAATGCAAAATGCAGTTTTTAAATATGAGTTCATTTATTTAGGGTAAAACAGCACAGCTATCCAAACCCACATGACTGTGTGGAAAAAGTGATTGCCCCCTGAACCTAATAACTGGTTGTGCCACCCTTGGCTGCAAGAACTGGAATCAAGTGTTTGTGATAAGTGGCAATGAGTCTGTCACATCACTGTCTAGGAATTTTGGCCCCTCTTCCATTAGTTTGGCCACATTGGAGAGTTTTCCGGCATGAACAGCCTATTTGAGATGCTTGAAATGCATGATCTTAATCTGATTTCACACCAGACCATGACTGGGCCACTCCAAAACAGACGGACAGTCTCCTTCAGGATTTTCTGATAGATATCAGAAATTCATGGTCTCATCAATTACAGCAAGTCTTCCAGGTCCTGAAGCAGCAAAGCAGCCCCAGACCATCACACTGTGACCATTATGTTTGACTGTTGGTATGACGTTATTTTTATGAATTTCTTTTGTTAGTTTTACTTCAGTCCAAAGAATATTTTGCCCAAATTTTTCTTTCAGCTGCACCCTTTAGCGGTCACCATGACAGATCATCTGCCTCCGCCTTATCCTATCTCTACCACCCCAGCACTAACCCTCTTCACGTCATGCTTCACTACATTCATTACTCCTTCCATGGTCTTCCTCTTTTCCACCTTCCTGGCAGCTACATATTCAGCATCCTTTATGTAATATATCCACTCTCCCTCCTCTGCCCATGTGTAAACCATCTCAGCCTTGCCACTCTAACTTTGTCTCCATCTCAACTTGAGCTGTCCCTCTAATGTTCTCTGATGCTGATTTTGAGAATCTGCACAGCATCATCTAGGATAGCAAAACTATGAGTGATGGCTGCTGGAAGAAAGCTATTTTTAAACCTTGTTATGCTGTACTTTGGCACTAAAAGCCTTTGTATAGAAGTAAGAAACTGAAACTCACTACGCAAAGCATGCAAGTCTTTCAGTCACATCTTGATGGAGGTGGACTTAAATTTTCTGTGTAATAACACATTGACCTCGAGGGTTATGATTTTTTTTTTTTATTCCAAATCCTGTATTCTATTAAATAAGGGATGGAAGGGTGACTATAAATTGCATGCATTCAATAAAAGATATGATATGAGTGAGCTGGTGTGTTTATGTGTCTACAAACTTCCGCTGTGTCGTAATTATTTCCATGCAGAGTTGCATTACTTTTTCACCATGATGTTGCGTTTATGATGGGAGAGGCGGACAGTTGTATAATGTCTTCTCCAGCACATCCCAAAAGTTCCCCCCTGAACTACTCAAAATCCTAGTATTATCATCTCCGAAAATGGTGCACTATCAGGAAAGGGAAAAAATAATAATTCATGTTTTTTGTTTTTTAATCCATATATTCAAGTAGTTAGCTGGCCTCAGTTTTTGGTCACCTGGAAAAACTCGACTGTATGAACTATGTATGGTGGGCGCATCACTTCACCTGCCTCTCTTCTTACCTCGATGCATCACATCCATCACTCTGGAGCATTCATCAGATCGCACGACCTTTTAGCATTGTTCCAGAGTTCAGACTCTACTGCAGAACTAACCAATCAAGGCTCTTAACTATATCTGTACCTGGATATATTGTGGAAACATATACTTAGAAAGATTTAATATTGTCTCCCATCACTGACTGATAAGATTTAAAGGCTTAAAGAAATAATGTCCCACTCAGTGGTTAGTTTGTGGATCCTTTGCTGAGTGAACTCATGCTTGGTCTCTTTATTTTTATTTTTTTTCTTTCTCAGCTCAAAGGACAGAAGTCCATGACACAATGAGTCCTCCACCTCTGCCTGTAGTCTTCTGCTGTTGTCACAGGAAAATCTGGTTGCATTCAGCAGTAGGAGGCGAACAAATCTCTGTTTTCCACCCCGTTATTATCTGTCCCCTGACAATGCTACGGAAGGACAAGCATAATGAATAGATACACTACCATCAGACAGCTCGGGGATGGCACCTACGGCTCAGTCATCCTCGGCCGCAGTCTGGAGTCGGGGGAACTAGTTGCCATTAAGAAGTGAGTATCACAAAATTGTGTTTCTCTGTAATCTGATAGATGTTTTTCCTTCTTGGGTTTAGCTATAGTATGATTTCATTTGGTCTCGACTTAAAAAGCTAACTGTAAGCCAAGACACAGGCTGTTTTTGTTTTTTTTTATTTTTTTCTGTTATGTTATTTCAGAATGAAAAGGAAGTTCTACTCCTGGGAAGAATGCATGAACCTCCGTGAAGTGAAGGTGAGCTTACATTTTCTAAAAGTTTAACATTTTAAAGTGAGTGATGGAAAATAAATCAACCCAAATTTAACATTGAATCTGTTAACACAATTCTTCATTCTTGGTGGGGAAAAATGATTTAATCAACCTACCACATTTACTTTAAACACTTAATCCTTAAAGGATATCTTGCAGCCTCTTCAGTTGTATCCAGGCTTGAATTGATCAGCATTGTTGTGCTTTAACATAGTACCTTGTTTTCTGAATGAAATACACAGAATTATATTTATATGTGACACAAGATGTCATTTTTATGATTTTAAAACATGTAAATGTGCTTGTCCTGAAGATTTTTGTTTTTATTCTACTAGTCCTCCTTGGCAGATGAGGGAAAGAGGTAGCTTTGCACACTGAAGACTCTCAGCAGAAACGGATTTATGCTGTACTACACAGGAATAGTCAGCCAAACCAAAGTGGCCAGCTGGTTCTGGCTCGATGTGCATTAGAACACATCATTTGACCCCTGTCATGCTTGTGCCATCCAAAATAGTCCTGAAGAATTTAACATACTCAGAGAAGATATATGTTGTCCCTTTCACAGCAAGAAACATTTGCCTTTATCCTTAACAAAACTTAAAACTGTCACCTCACTGTAAGTTACTTCACTGTCTAAATATTACTCACTGGCTTCACTAGTTACACCTTCCCAGTACCAGGTTGAAACCTCAGAACTACTCATGGTATAGATTCGCCCACGCCATTACACCAACAACACCAGCCTGAACCTATGGTACAAAGCAGGATGGATCCATGCTTTCATGGTGTTTACACCAAATTCAAACCTTACCATCTGAATGTTGCAGCAAAATTCAAGACTTATCAGACAAGGCAACATTTTTCCAAGCTGCCGTTGTTCAAGGTTGGTGAGCCAATGAGAACTGTTGCGTCAGTTTCATGCTCTTACCTGAGGAGTGGCACCCAGTGTGGTCTTCTGCTGCTGTAGCGCATCTGTTTGTGCATTCAGAGACTCTCTTCTGCGTTCCTCAGTTGCTGTTATTTGTCTTACTGTAACTTTGATGCTCAGATTGTCTCAACTGTGTCTACATGTCTGAACGCATTAAATAAATTGCTACCATATCCTACTGAGAATCAAGGGGGGTATTTGTGTTAATAAGCAGTTGATAAGATTACCTAATAAAGTATCAGTTGGGTGTATATCACTCATGAAATTCAACATGATAATATTTTTGAATTCATGATGTTGAGACAGACATTCTGCACTACAGGCAGGTACATCAATAAACACTGATTGCAACAGGAAACGTGACCATAAAGTATGATGTTATTACACGTGACTAGCTCT